ATATATATATATATATATATATATATATATATATATATATATATATATATATGTATATATATATGCATGTATATTCATTTATATATGTATATATTTGTTCATGTATATTTATATATATATATTTTTTTCAGAAGTCGCGAGTTCTGAAAAAAAACTTGATTCTAAAGATAAGCTATAGTTTACTGGTAATAAATCTTTTTTTCGTATCAATTTCGGTCATGCGAAAATTTTTCAGGTTTCATCTGTTTATCTGAAGGAAATTGGCAACTACGCTGGCTATTATCGTGAAGCCTTACGCTATTTGGGTTGCGAAGATCAGACAAAGTTACCGCAATCTGAGAAGCAGTTGCAAGCAGTATTGCTAGGATTTGCTGCTCTGCTGGGCGATAATGTTTACAATTTTGGTGAATTGGTAGAGTTTCTTTCCTTAATGAATTTCCACTTTTTTCTCCTTCAGTCTGCAATTCTAGCACAGTTCCGCAACTTCTATTCCGGATTCCTTTTTTTACACAAAATATTTGGTACTGTGACGAGTATCTCTCAAGTTTCACGCCCCAAACGCCAGACGTCTTTCCGGCATGTGATTAATATGGTATAAAATGGGCGTTAAATCGATAAATTGTGAGATATCAAAGATTTTCTGTATATATTTTAAATATGCGTTCCTTTTCTTCGAGTAAATTTCTGTTTTGTTTAATTACAGTTGGCACATCCGATTTTGAAATCGCTGGAAGGGACTCGCGAAAAATGGATCATTGATGTATTATATGCTTTTAATGCTGGTGATCTCAAAAAATTCTATGAATATCGTCCACAGTGGGCCGAGTGGGATGATCTGAAAGATCATCAGGACCTTTTGGAAGATAAAATTCGCTTATTGAGTTTGATGGAGGTAATTAATTTACTGAGTGTCTTTTATGCTTCGTTTTTTTGGTTTATGATTGGGGATTTAGCTACTTGAGCGATTTTAAGTTTTGATTTCGAAACTTCATTCATGTAATTTTTAGATTGCTTTGGCTCGTCCGTCGAAGGAACGGTATATTTCATTTAAAGAAATTGCTGAAAAAGCCCAGATTGATCTGAATAAAGTTGAAGCTCTGGTAATGAGAGCGCTGAGTAAGGGCCTAGTGCAAGGTTCGATTGATCAGGTGGAGGAACTAGTTAATATTACCTGGGTACAACCAAGGGTACTTTCGCCGCAGCAGGTATTTTCGTCTCTTTTTTTTTTTCTCTTTCTTTTCATTCATTTTCTTTTGTATTTTGATGTTTAAACGAAGCTGGGTACTCGGTATTCGGCCTTCTAAAGTCCTTCAGTTTTTAAAACCTTTTGACTTCCTCGAATGGTCAGTCTCAATTACTAATGATTTTTCCCAAATACCCGATTCTTTATGCTTGAAATAATTGCTGTTGTGTAGTGAAATCAAAAGGACAGTGGAACTATATCCTGACAAAGAATTGACACTGCTAACGAATCGAACCTAGTATTTAAACCTGTTTCATATTTTTTAAAATTAGATTCTGGCAATGAGTGATCGTATTGGCGCCTGGTGTGCTGAAGTTGAAGGAATGGAAGCGATTGTTCGTAATAATGCCAGAGAAATACTGACAAAAACGTGATGTTGCTTGCTGATTGTTTGATTTGTACTATTATCAAGGACTGGTAATAATAAATATAAGTAGTTATGCAGTCGGAAAATTTTTTTTAATTTCAACTGGAAAAATTGATTTGTGATTTGTTGAAATGCGTTTTCCGTGAAGTGTTACGTTAAAATATGGTCGATCATAGTATTTTGCGTGGGCATCGAAAAGCAGTGGGAACATCCACACGTAATTACTATTGTTCTTAGAAATTTGTTTCTTAAATAAAGTATTTTATCATTTAATGCTCCTTTGATCTCACATATGTAGAGGACATAAGTTCAGCTGTTAACTGAGCAGCCTAAGATTTGCAAATTCATTTTTTTTTGTTTTTAAATCATAGATGTCCTCTATACTACATATAGCAGTACGCTCGTTAACATTAGAATAGGCTTAAATGGAATCGTAGCATGTGGTAGGTATTAAAAATGTAAATATTAATCTAATCGTTGATAAGATTATCGAAAGGAGGAAGCAACCACAGGAGAATGGAGCTGTTCGGGAATTTTCAAAATACAATTAAGCGAATAGCAAGCGATCGATTTCCGGAAAAGCGTTAAGCAGAGTGGGAAGGTTGCAAAAGGGAATAACAGTCCTACAATTCATTAGCATTAGGTCTAATTGATATTTGGAACGAGGGCCAAGTTTTGTTTTTTTTTAGTGATATGCTGGGAATAATTTCTACCGAAGTGATTTTATATATGTATACCAGAAAGAAGTCTGATATACATGTAAGTTTTAGTTTATTGGAAGGACCCATCAATTTTCGGGAAGATACATTTAACCCATCCATTTTTTTCATTCAACGTCATCAAAACAAACAATACACGTGAAAATAATCAAATGATATTTTCATCTCTCAGTTGTCCCTCATAATATCACTGGTCAAAGCATTGCCTAATAATGCTTGTTATAGAAGTGCTTTATTTTCTTTCCCGATATTTCTTCTTTTCCTTAATCTTCGAATTTTTAATAACTTCTCCCTTATTTCCTGTATAACGAGCAATCCACAGAATAACCCAACGATTGCTAATATTTGTAAAGAGTATGGGATAATTTGCATCGAATATTTCTCCTTTAAAGAATTCATTGGTTACCATAACATTCCTAACTGGGATGTTTGATTATTTTTTTTTCTTATTAATTCGAATTCATTTCTTTTTTTCACTATTATTTGCATATTGCAGTGTTATGATCTATTTATTGGGAGTGTGCATTTAATAATAAATTATCGATCGATTCAAACTAAATTTAACATTTGCTATACTGTAATTAAATTAAAATAAAGTAAAAACCTCGACATGAGCTATTTTTCCGATATTCTTTATTACAGGTAATAAAAAAAAAATTTCTGGTCAAAAACACGTTTCTGGTCAGAAATGCAGAAAAAGAAAGCCGATCGAAAATTTGAAGTGTCTAGCGAACACGACGAAAAAGGCTGTTGAAAAGGCTTCATTGATACTGCAAAGAAAGAATCTATCAAAGGGATTAAGTTAGGAAAAGACGATAGAATAAAACAACAAAAATATAATATTGAGAAATAGTGTTGGATGAAATTTGGAGATAGAATGAAAAGGACTGTTACGTTCAGGAAAAGATGATGGATGGATGGAAGATTAACGTTTCATTATAAGGAAATTACTTGTATGAAGAAGATTGTCTATTTGACGAAGGAAATAAGATTCATCATGGAAGAGTTTCACTTATTACGGGACTAAATAAAATAAATGATAAACTTATAGAAAAAAGAGAGATAATGAATCAGTAGCGATAGAAAAGTAAAGAAGGGACCTAGAAGATTTGGTT